GAGGCAGGTGGATCACCTTAAGTTTGAGGCCAGCCTGGACTGCACAGTTCAAGGCCAGCCTGAACTACACAGCAAGACCCTGTCTCAAAAACAAAAAAACAAAAAAACCATCATCTTGGTCAGGTGACCACGGTCAGTATCAAGGTCAGTAAGTCATGCTGGTAGTATGTACATAAGTATGCATTACACGTTGATAATCTCTTTACCTTTGTTCTTCCCCCACTCCACTCCCCAAAATCGTAATTCCAAACTAATCATAAGAAAAAATCACACAAACAATTGAGGGATGTCTACAATATACTTTACCAATACTATGTCAAAGTCATCAAAAACAAGGAAGAGTATGAAACATTGTCACAGCCAAGAACTTAAAGAGCTATGATGACTGAATAACATACTATTTGAGATAGGCTCTTGAAACAGGAAAAAAAGACACTAGGTAAAAACTAAGAGAATTTGAACAAAGAATGTACTTTACTTAACAATAATGTATCAACATTGGTTATTACTTATAACAAATATACCATAGTAATGATGTTAAAAATAGGGAAACTGGGAATGGATATTTGGGAACCTTCATATTATCATTGTAATTTTTTTTTTTTAGAATTTTTCTATAAACCTAAAACTGTTCTAGTTTATCTTTAAAAATGCCATTCTCATTATTGCCTTTTGTTTCAAAGTTTTTCATAAAAATATTACTTATATTCATATATAGTAGGTTTATTATTTTAATGAGTACTTAAATATTTCTCAATTTTAATTTCTAATATGTTAATATTGATATTTATAACTTTTTTTTTTGTGTGTTTTGAGGCAGGGTCTCACTCTATAATTCAGCCTGGTCTTGAACTGACTATGTAGCCCCGGCAGGCCTCAAAATCACAGTAGTCCTCCTGCCTCAGCCTCCCAACTGCTGGGATTACAGGTGTGTGCCACCATGCCCAGTACATAATTAATAATTTTTAAATGTATGAAGGAATACTAATGCCAAAAAGTTTGAAAAACTATTGATGTAGGTAAGTTTCACATATATGGAAAAATTCATGCATGTGGTACCTCATTCCTCAAAAATACAGGATAGATGTAATTTAAGTTTGAGGCAGCATATATATGTTGTATTACTCATGTTTGTGGAGTAAACTGCCTAGTATTTTTCCATTAATATATTATCTTCTAGGATCACTCTCAAAGTCTCCCTTTAACTTGTTACTAGCGTAATAAACTGTCAAAGCCTCTGTGTAGTGTTAGTAGACCTACACAGGCACTTATACCATGGTCCTATTAGCTGGGTGGTAAAGGGAGAGGAAGAGTGGGCTGAATACCTACTAAGAGCCAGGTTCTGGAGGTATTTCACACATATATGATCTCTTAGGGATGACTGTCAAGGAGTGAATGTTTATCCAGGTCTGGGGCTATCATTTAACCAGTATAGTAAGTGAAGGAAAAAAGGTATGAAGCCATGTCCAGCTACAAAACCCCCAATAAGATATTAGCCTGCTGGCTGAAAAAACAAAATCACTAGAGAGATAGTATACAATCCTGAGAACTGAGGACCAGATGGCACCAAAAAGCACAGTGAGGGTTTATAATTGGATGTGACAGTGAAAAGATAAGTATATAAAATGACAGCAAAGAAAGTGAAAATTAGAGGCAGAAGTAGAAGAGGCAGCAGGAATAATGTTCCTTCCTCTCTTCTTTACTCAAATCCTCTCTTCCTGCTAATGCCACAGGATACCACCACATACCACAATGCTAAGTGGACATCGCTGCCAAAAGACCTCAGCTCATGCAGGATAAGCTTTTGTCTTCTACCACTGCATCTTGCCACTGGCTCCTCTCTACCAGTCTGGGGCTAATAAAAGTCAGCCATAAGAGCTTTGGGAAGGAGAGGGTGATAGAGTACCTTTCTGGCAGCATTATCACCTGTCAATAAAAGGAAAATCTTGATCTGCCCAACCTTGTCTGGATTAGTCCACCAGTAGAGTGCTATTAAAAAGACCAGCATGCCAAGGCAGTTACATGCCAGAGTTTGAAAATACTACATTTAAACTTCAAAATAATTTAAGGCAAGTTTCATTGCCTTATTCTGTTAGGAATTTTACACTTTATACTGTAACTACCTGTTATGCTTATATCTAGATTTGTGATGGCAAACCATTTAGAGGTGAGTGCCCCAAGTGCAACCCAAAACCCTTTATTTATTGCAGAGTGCCAATACTGCAATTAAGCCCAAATAGTGAAGTTTTAGTTTAGAAAAAACTCATACAATAACATCTGTTGTCTTAAAAGAAAAACAAACAACATGCATGCCATATAACACCACTGATCTAGATGTACCCCGAAAGCCTCATGTTGCTCATAGGTGGGGCTTCTGGGAAGTAACCGGATCATGGAATCCACTGATGGGTTCACAGCTGGGTGTGATGTTGAGAAGTGAAGCCTGGTGGGAAGTGGCGGGTCACTGTGGATGAGGCCAGGAGGGTACCTATTCCTAATCCCTTGATCCCCCTTCTGCTTCCTGCTACCATGCCATGAGCAAGCCTCCTCCATCATGCCTCTGCCATGCCACCCTGCCTTGGAGCCAGCCTACTATGGACCCAAACCTCTACAGACTAAGCTAAAATAAATTTTTCTTCCTTTAACTTAAAGATGTCAGGTATTTTGTGCCAGCCACAACAAAGTAAAAGACACTACCTAGAAATTCCCCTTTTTAGGTACTGTATGTTCCCAAAATTTAAATAAATAAGTAGCCAGCTAGCTGACTATTTACATAAAAGAACATTTGTCTATTTGATCTCTTTTACATAAAAGAACATTTGACTATTTACATAAAAGAACAGAGTCTTCAGTGAAGACTCTGAAGATCATACAGCTTTCACAAAGGTATCCAAAAGAGTGTATGGGGCTAGGAAGATAGTTGAGTGTAGAACACTTGTGGCCTGGGTAAGATCCCCAGCACAGATGGATGGATGGATGGATGGATGGACAGACAGAAGGAGGGAAGGGGAGGGAGAAGGGAAGAGAGAGCAGAGAGGAAAGAGAGGGAAAGGAAGGAGAGAGTAACAGAGGGGAGGGGAGGAGACTGTAGGGGAGGGAAAAAAATCCCACAAAAGTCTATGTAAATTTACCATTACCAGCTACTTTTAGCTGCTTCTCTTTTAATATGCTTAAGACATCTAAATATATTTTTCCCTCTTACTTAGAAAATGTTGCCTGCCACCCATCCCACTGCCCTTCCTGAAACCTTTGTATTTTTAGAGGAAAATGATTGAGTGGATTTTAAATTATAACTAATTAAGATGTACTGAATCATCAATTACACCATGTTAACAATGTCATGTACAGGAAAAAAGGAGCAAAGAATTCACCCTAATCATTTTCAATTTAAGAAGATGAAAATAAAGCACTTATTAACCTGTTATCAAGTACACAAAGTAACAGCCTACCAAGTACAATTTCCAAAAACCAGACCTACCATTTAATTGTTCTTTAACTAAAACAAGCATTTTGTTAATTTCAATGAATTTATTTATTGTTTATTTTGATTGGTTGAGATAATCTTACTATGTAGTTCAGGCTGACCTTGAACTCTGTGTAGCCCAGGCTGCCTCAGCCTCCTGAGCGCTGGGATATAAAAATCACTCCCAAACAGCTCCTTTCACTAACAAACTTCCTCAAAACACATAACAAACTTCCTCAAGAACACATAAGCAAATTTGGAAAATTCATTGATTACAACTACACTGAATTAACTGGGTACAAAACTCTTTCAGTTGTACCATATTTCATAAAATCTAAAATGCCTATAATTATAAACTTCATTATTTCATATCACAACAGCCAAGAAAAAAAAGCTGCCAATTAAACCATAACATAGTGCTTATTTATGCTAGCCTGTCTTCAAGGAAAGTAAAATGTGCACAAAATCTGTTTTAGAATCAAGAAAATACTGGGGGAAAAAAAGAAAAGAAAATATTGAAACTTTAAACATAATTCAAATAGGTTAGAAGATAAAAGAAAAATTATCTATAGATAAAATAATCTTGGATACTAAGAATCTTTGATACCTACTATATTATGATAGTATTTCACACAATTTTTAATGGTTGAGCTGAAAAAAATAAAGCTTTTTAGCAAATGTATGTAAAATAAAACGAAAAGCATTGGCAAAAAGTAGATCTTGAGATGAACCCACTACTCAGTGATGAAAATAACTGTAAAGACCACTCAGAAACAGCTGGTCTTTTAGCATGAGAAAATCCCCCTCAAAATACTCCTCCTCACTTCAAAGCACTTATAGACAAAAGGTGCCAGTGGAGGGTTAGGTTCCATCCCACCTGCTACACTAGCAAAAGCTGACTCAAGCAGACAATATCTATAATTGAGAAATGTTAAGTATAGTTTAAAAAAAAAAAAAACGTTCAAAACTGACAGATGGGAAAAGTATTTACAATTAACTTATACTTCAAAAATAAAAGTTGAAAGCTAACATGGAATCAATACCTGGTAGACTCCTTTCCTCCCTTCCCAGGGAGAATCTGAGGCAGATTCAAGATTCTGTGCCAGGACGTTTTGTCACTCTCATTGTACACAAGATATTTTAAAGTCTCCACTACAACATAATTAATGCTAAGAACTTTAAATACTAAAACATTTATAGCCATGTTGCTATCCAAATGATTTTTGAAAATCTTTCCACTTCTCATGAGCCTTGTGATAGTGTCTTTTTATAATGCCTACCCTTTAATTTAGGTAGACGACACACTATAAAATGCTTTTCCTGCAAATCTCATCACTTGCAGAATTTTCCTAGACACATCAATTAACCAGAATCCAGCTTGGCAGCTAACTAAAAGTTACGTTTTGACACAACTTTTAGGACAAAAAAGGCAAATCTCCAGAAAACAAGCTGACTTCAAGACTCTTGAGAAAGTCCTACTCTATTTATTCAGTAAAACGCAAGGGCCCACAAAAGGTCCCCAGATAATCAATCTTACCTGGCAGTGCTCCAAGCTGGCTGCGGTGGCCAGGTCAGTCTTGCCAAGTTTACTGAGATTTCCAGAAAGGTTTAAAAAAAAAAAAAGAAGTGGAAAAAAATAGCTCCTTTGGCTTAGGAGCTTTTCTCTAAAATCCTTCTCCTCTGGCTATCTGATCTCTTCCCTCTACTAGACTACTGCCAACCGCCTTTACCACGAAAACGAAGCAAATGCAAAGCAAATTTCTCAGAAAAATAATCACATGCCCACTCCACCTTTTGAAACTATCTAAGGCACAACATTCCATACAAGAACAACAAATCAGTTGTTAAGGCACAGTATTGTCTTCACCCTCTAAAGATTCAAATGTATGTGAAATCTTCCACTTACTGCAACTCAAAAATGCATGGACAAGTATTTGAAATATTTTTGTTTAAATTCTTGAAGGTGAAGAGCTTATTCTGGTAATTCAAATTAATCTGAACTAGAGCTACTACTATTTAGTAATTAAGACTTTACTGTGCATTTACCCAAACATTTTCCTCCAAATATTTAAAATTTGCCTTCTGCTCAGGAATTAGTTTCTACAATAGTAAACGGCTATTTTAAAGGGGGGGGGGGCTTTAACCACCCTTAATTCACTGCCTTGTGTACTCATGCACAAATCTGTCCTCCAAAGAGATGGAGAGGATGGGATGGCGGTCTCTTAGCACCGCATCTCCTGTAGCTCCTTGCACGAAGCCTGGAAGTAGTTGGCATTTAATAAATGCCTATTAAACACTTTAGTCCTCTCATAACACGTTGAGGCATTCCAAAACACTTCACCCTTCCAGCGTCTGCCTCCAACTCCGGAATCCAGACTGCCTGTGGCCTTCCACTGATGAAATGAAACCTCGTCGCTCAAGAAGACCCAAGATGAGGGCAAGAAAGCCACCCGATTCCATCCCGCAGGGCAGCCGATCCTCCATTCATCCCGCCAGGCAGTACATCCGGAGGCCTTTCCTACCCGTCTGGCAAACCAGGTCGCCGGCCAGGATTTGCAGGCAGGGGCACGAGCCTCCGCCCCACCCCGCAGACAGCCAGGCGTCGGGACACTGGGCACGCCTGCGCAGAAGAACCTGCCTTCCACCCGCCTGGCCACTCAAATCAGACGGGTAACAATACCCGCTCAGACAGACAGGCAGGGTAGGCGGGGGTAGGTAGGTGGGGCACTAAGCGTCTGCGCGCTCCCTGGCGTCTCGGCGCGGCCCTGGCGCTCAACGGTCTCCACGTGAGCGCGCCCGCGCGCGCCATCACCCCTCTAGTTGACAGGGTCGCCTCACCTGAGCCGGGCTCCGCCCCCCTTCTCCTCGCTAGAGGAGGCGGTGACCCTTCTCGGATCAGACCTGTGTCGGAGGCGGGAACGTCCAGACTGGCGTCTCCGTGATGGGACTTCCTCCCCCTTCTGCCCGCCCCCGGCACACCCCTCTCGTCCCTCAGCTCCTTCGGTCAGTTCGCAGCCGCTTTCTGTGAACACAGCGGCGGCTGCCTACAGTAAACGGAAGTGATGCAATGCAAACTCGCCTACACCTCCCCCCGGCGGTTCATTCCCCCGCCTCCTTGATGAGCTAAAACCAATCAGCAAATTGGAGGGCGGGGCTGGGACGGCTATGCCGCCAGCCCGCACGGAACCTAGAGGAATTTACTCGGCACCTTGAAAAACTGACCAATCCACGGTCCCAGGAGTCTGGCTGTGTTTACTACCGACTGAATCTGTGAGCGCTCTCACCAATCACCGTTTACCTTACAATCGTAAAACTGTTATCAAACGCCTTTTAAGGCGGGACTTATCCTGAGCGACTCTATGTTTGGGCCATAGAAAAGTGACTGAGCTGCAGCTAATCAAAGCCCGTTGTGATTGAGGCAAATAAGTTTTCCGCCTAAATTTCTCCAATCACAATCACGACTACTAGGAAGGCGGGCCCGAAGGGTAATTACGTCTAGCCATTGGCTGGTTCTGAAAGATTTCCTCACCCTCTTGGTGCAGGTCTCTCACTAATCTGGGGGCTCACGCTCAGAAGTGAAATGTTTTCCTCGGTTCTACCTTAACGCTGGATTGGAAGTTGTTCCCAAATCGTAGTGTTAGAAAAGGTAAAAGAAAAAGAAAAAAACGAACAAAAAATAGAAAAGATTAAATGAAATTCCAAGAGCATGTTTTAGGTTGAAATAAACCACAATCCATTGTTAAAACAATTACTTAAAATACCCATCTGATGGCAGTTAAGTGGACCACGCCCCACATCCAGTCTAGAGTGGCGGCCTGTCTGGAAACGTCGGAGCCTGAGGAGCCCGGCAGGCGGGTCCGGGACTCGAGTTTTGCGTTTGTCTCGCATTCCGCCCCCCAGGTCATGCAAACCCGCAGTCTCCAGAACCAACTTTATAATCACCTATACCTCCCCCGAAAATATATTTATCGATATATTTATTGATATGTATCACTCTATGCAGAAGTACTAAGGGCTCCCAGCGGGATCTCTTTTTTTGTTCGTTTGTTTTTTTGTTTTTCCTTTTTTTCCGGTACCTGGAATCGAACTCACGACCTCGCGCTTGCCAGGCAGGCGCTGTGCCGCTGAGCTAAATCCCCAGCCCCCCTAGCGGGATCTCGAACGTGGAAGGGTCGCCGACTCTAAAGGGACAGGTCAGAAAAGAGCGAGCTCCAGGGGGTCCCCCCACCCCGCCCCGGGCTCACAGGCGCACGCCCGAGGAAGGCCCCGCGCCCCGACGGAGGCGAGTAGGCCTGGGCGAGGTGCACCGCTGCGCGAGGAAGCCCTTCCTTCTCAGGGGAAGAGCGGGGAGTGCTCGCAGGGGCCTTCTCTTGCGGAAAGCGTCCCGAGACAGAGGCAGTCTGGCTGACGCGACCAGGTTGGGCCTGAGTCTGGGCCAGGTGGTGCGGGGTGGGGGGCAGAGACGTCTTTAAAAACGGACCTCCCTGCTTCCTCGGAACGTGACACCCGTGACACCCGGACGGCAGGCCGCGGAGCTGTTCCGCCAGACGTGAGTGCACAGTGGGAAGCATTGCCCCTGGAGCTTATTTCTTTCAGGCCTCAGTGAAATCTCATGGCAGTTTTATTCTTTATGAGTCCCTGATGCTTTGTAGCGCTTAAACATGTATTTTACACCAGATAACCGAGTACAATAAAGCAAATATTGAATACTGACACTAGGTTAGGATAATTCCTTAACCTAGACATTATCTCAAATTTATAGACTTGCAAAACGTTAGAATGATTTGTAAATGGGCACACTCCCACACTGTTGACAGGGTTATCATTGATGCTGTCTTTGAAAGTAAGCTGGTAGTGTCTAACAAAATTTAGAATCAGCATTTATTCCCTTCTGGGGGCATTTTCTTTCTAGGAATGTGTGCTGTTGAAATATACAATGTGTTAATACACAAAGGTGGAAAAATAAATCTGAGGCTGTTTACCACAGCTTTGTTGGAATGGCAGTCTCACCTTGTATCTACAGAAGACTACTATATATAGTGATATATACATATGCATATATCATACATGATATATACATACGTATATATCACTAGTGATTCCATGTACATACACAACAAAAGAAGAACCAAAAGCTGGCTGGTGTAGGGCCGTGGTAGAACACTTGTTTGGCATGCACAAGGCCCTGGGTTCAATCTCTAGCACCCTCCATTCTCAAGAAACAAACAAGAAAAGCGTGCATGTGGAGGTATACATAAAAGTTTGTAACTATATGGCTAAGTATGAAAGGGTACTATCAAACTCTTTCACCATGGTTATCTTGTCACCAGACAGGGTCTGAGAGGTGCCTCAAAGCTGGAGAGGAAGACTTCAGTTTGCCCCTACATTCAGAGTAGGTTCACCGTCTTCCATCACAGAAGTGCATTTCAGGACTTGCAAGTGGGAGGGAAAGACAGATTAGACAGAGTTAAGGAAGCTCACACTGAGAGCGTCTCAGAGAAGCTCTTCTGAGAAAATAGAGTGAGCACTCAAAAAGAGAGAAACACTATGGCCTGAGGTGGGAATATTTGTGTTCTTGGGGGTGTCCTCAAGACATGATCTAGGATGGATATTTTGTGTCTGTCAGGTGGGCTAGTCTATAGCAGGAAATGCACAGACTCAAATTTATAGGGAAAGGGATATGTCCAATTTACAGGCTTATTATATCTTTTAAGACTCAGGAATTTGAGGGAGTTACCTGGAATGGAAAAAAGCACTGTAAACTAAGGTAACTTTGTGTCCTAATCCTCTAGTTCTCTTAAAACAATTTCTCCCTCTCTCTCTCTCCTGTCCCCCTACTCATTTCAAAACAGGGTCTTGTTGAGTCACTAAGTTCCCAGGCTGGGCTTGAACTTGCAAACTTCTTGTCTCAACTTCCAAGAGAGCCTTTTTTCTTTTCTTCCTATCTTTATATCTCCTGTCATACCGGAACCTCAGTGAAGGATTGGTCTTTTGAGGAAATGATTTAAAAATACCTTCTTAATTTTTAGTTTTATAAGTCTACTGTAGTAATTCTTAAAACAGTCATTATTACTTTACTAGTATTTGTGAGGCCCAGCATTGTAGGTGGTTTGGGTTTTCACACCATTGGCAAAATTCTTTAAAGAAAGCAATCAAAATTTTTCAATAACAATATCAATAAGATACTCTTTGAAAATGACATACAAAGTCTAAATTTCATAAGAAAAGATAATATTGCAAGAATAGCCAGAATGTTCTGGAAAAAAAAATAAAGAGAATTACAAAAATACAGTACTTTTTTCCCCCCTGCAATACTGGGCGTTGAAGCCAGGGTCTTCACACTAAGTTATATCCCTGGACCTAGGCATGTACCACCACACCCAGCTTATAATTTAAAACAATTTAGTACTAGCATATGAATAGATGGACAAATCAATGAATCAAAACAGAGGGTCCAAAAGTAAAATTAAATATTAGAGAATTTGGCAGAGCTTCACAGAACATACCTGTAGTCACAGATACTATAGGACCATAGGCCGTAGGATTGTGAGTTCAAGGCCAGCCTAGGCAACATTTGGAGACCTTGTCTCTTATAAGAAAAATAGGGGGCTGAGGAAGTGGGTCCGTCACAGTGTTGTAGGCAGAGTTATATAGAAATATAGGCTTTCAGACAAGGCCAGGCCCTCGAAGGAGCCAATAGAGAGACAGGCACTTCTGCTGTGGGCCAGACCTCAAGACAAAAGATTAAACAGATGTGCGCACATAGTTCCTTAGGGATGGACATCAGGGATTGATATTCTAAATAGGTAGCAATCCCCTTTTCTTAAGCCAGAAAGAGTCACTAACCCAACCCCATACAGGAAAGGCCACTGTTCTGTATTCGTGCCCACTTGCTATATGACTCGCTTCCCCATTTGATCCCAATTTAATCAGTTTTACCTAAGCAATTATACTTGTAATTATACTTGTAATACTATTGGCCGACCATACTTTTGTTCCACCTCATGCTCACATAGTGAGTTCCCATGTTTTCCACCTTGGACCCACCTCACCTTGTGGTTTTGCGCTGTAAAAATCCCTGGAAAAGACAGGTTCCCTGGGCAACCCATTCAGGCACCCTGCTGTCCCTCTCTTGAACAGAAGCTTTATTTCCCTCCATAAACATATCCTGCTTTTAACCCCTATTGTTCCTAAAATTCATTCTTCAATTTTAGAGAACACGAACTCATCCCAGATATCTTTCAGTATGCGAGTTTCTTTCCCCTATATCAATAGAGTACTCACTTGTATCAGGTGCTGATCAGTCCTCCAGTCTGCCTAGACAGAGGTATGGCAAGGGATAAAGAAAGACAAAGAGGCACACTTTCCAAGCACATGAGGGGAGCCAGGCATGGTGGTGCACATGAGTAATCCCAGCACTCGGGAGGCTGAGGCAGGAGGATCATTGTGAGTTCGAGGCCAGCCTGGGCTACATAGTGAGTTCAAGGCCAGCCTGAACTGCATAGCAAGACCCTGTCTCAAAAAGACAAACAAACAAACAAAAGTACATGAGGGGCTGGGAGGGCAATGCCAGAGGGGGCAGAGATAAAGAGACTCGGAGCTAGCCACTGTTTATTAGGTGCACACAATAATCGGAGGGAATATGGATGACTCAGAGGGTGAGGGTGATCTTATGCTGATGAGGATCTTATGTTGATGAGGATGGTGGGATATGCAAAGGATTCTTTTTTTTTTTTTTTCCCAGTACCGGGAATGGAACTCACGACCTCGTGCTTGCCAGGCAGGCATTGTGCTGCTGAGCTAAA